ATATACACATATACACATATTCTTTTGTTCAGCATGCTGCACCGTTTTGTGTATTTGATAAGGAGCCACTAACAATTAAGATTGAAGTTTTCATTTCATTGTAGTTTTTATTTCTTCAAGTTAAACTGGGTCCAATCCTCCATTACAGCTGATCTTTTGCTGCACAACAATGTGAGAGGGGGAGCATCTTCACCTGGGCTTTCACTCTGATTAACACTGGCCTCACAACAGTATGACAGGACAATAACCCTCAGTGCAATACTTGTAAATATACATTGTACAGATTATACAAATCCATACAGGTCTCTATTTTTAAGCACTCTATTTTTATTCCTATTTATCACATTTCAATGAGTATTCCTTTGTAGCGGTTTGGGCTGTGCATTTATCAGGGTGGGTTGGGGTTTACAGTGGCGGGGTGGCTAACCTGGTTAATGATAGTTTTAGTTTTCTTTTTTTTTGGTTTGTTTTTACTTGTTTTCTCTGAAACTGGAAACACACGTCTACTGTCTGCACTGATTCAGCCTTCAGCTCATCTCCTCCAGTAGTCTGATTATTAACACAATCAAGACATGGTGCAACAAACCAAAAACTGCAGCACAATCTCAACTATCAATCAAAATTGGACCCATCTGGACTGCATAGAGAAATGCTGTACTTCCTGCTGGTCAGTGCTATTTATTTGTAAAAAATAGTAAATTTGTTTTGTGTTTGTCTATTCAGATTTGACACTGTTGTTGCTGTGTTCTGTCTTTTGTAACAAAACTATAGTGGTATTTACATTGATGCTTTTCATTCTGTCATCCCTCCACTTCAAAGTGCAACTGTCCAGAATGTGTCCTTATTAAGTCAAACTGAACTGAAAATGGTTTCCTGCCCTCTAGTAGTGCTCAAGATATGCAATTACTGTCCAAGGTTCAAGCATATTTTGTTTTATAGACTGCTGTTTATAAGATTATAAACGCTATGGAAAATAGAGCAGCGGGAAGGCTCGAGCTTGTTACAGTAGCGATCGTTGTAGGGAAGAGATAAACAGTAGATCGTAGCTGTTCTGTGGCCAAACTGCATAGCAAGATGGAGCAAACTGGCGGTGTCAGCACGTCTGAGCCGCTCCTAAATGTCAGGAGCGTCTGCAGAAAGAGACGGAGCGAGAGAGGCGGTAGATCGTAGCTCTTCTGCGGCCAATATATAAAATAAAATGAAGGAACCGTGGTGATTTATAAATACTCTGACGTTTCCTTTCAGCGGATCTTCTGAAGCACTGGTTTAGTGTGTATAAAGCTTATGAATGGCATAATAGGAGCACAAAAGCAGCAATGAGGAAGAGGAGAGGCACAGAGACAGCTGCTAGACCGGGGAGTCACGTGACGCAAAGGCTGCCAATGGCATTGTATTGTATTGGCCCATTCATTGTCTATGGACAAATAGACAAAATATAAATGTCAATTATAAAAAAACCATAACAGATATCAAGATGATTTTTGCACCATTCGTAGCTGAACGTCTCACGAATTGAACAGAGTTGAAATGGTGTCTAGCCCAAGGTATGCCGGAGATATTAAGCTTCCAACTTTGCCCATTCATTTCCAATGGGAAAATTTTTGTGAAAAAAGCGGAATAGCTTAAAAAGTATAAAAGTTATAAAAAGGTTGTATACATGCACACATGTCCTTAAGGAGATAAACAGTTTTATACCTCAATGGCCCTTCTAGGTGAAAGTATGCTGAAGGAGTTAGGTGCTAAAGAACAGTGGCGGAACCCAGAATAATAAAGAACAAGATAAGAGTGTGGATGCTCGCATCCACACTAATAATAATAAATAAGAGGAAAACATAGTGTGGATGCTACTGCATCCACACAATAAATAAGAGGACACGTTTTCGGTGAATGAGTGAGTGCTTCCAGTTCGGAAGTTTGGCTGGCTGGCTGCTGCACCAGAGCATAGTGTGGATGTTTTACAGCACAAATTAGTCATGTGAAACAATGAAATGTCAACCAAAACAAGCTATTCAAAATATTTGAAATGTATCCGCCTGAATTTTAACATTAAAATTTAGCTCAGTTTAGCATCTATTGCAACATTTCTATCCTGAGTTAAACCTTGATGCCAAAACACACAGACTCATGCCGGCCACCCATTCCATATTTTTACTCAGTCTCCTGACTGAAAACCACCTGCAATCTCATGAATCATTTAATTCATTGTGAGAGCACAAGAAATAAAGCAAATCTGTTTCAGGAGTCTAAATCCAGAAAGATGCAGATTGCCAGTGTATGATTTTACACATGTACTGGACACTGTATTCAACACTGTGTCTGTTTCATTACTCCATTTAATCATCTGCAATCAATTTCTTATTTTTAAAATGTTGCCTTAGTTACAATATGTTCTGAGATGAGTACAGTTATGGTAGTGTCTCAGCACAGTATGTGTACCTACCTGCAATGCACACATATAGGGACATCGTCATTCTCTTGGTATTCTCTCATTAGTCTGATCATATCCAGTATGGAGTCAAATGATGAGGGGACATCGTGATCTGGCCAGTTCATATAATGGAACTGTGTTATCCTCCGAGTTTCCTGCAGGGAGACATATTATTAAAGGTTTTTTATTTTTAAAGGTGGGGGACTGATGGAGGGTGAACTGAATCACCAGGCTAGGTGGAGAAAGTCAATGTGTAAAACTGAAGGTGTACATGTGGCCTATATTTCAATTTTATCCTCTATTAGAATCGTATGATAAGAACATATTTTTGTCATTGTCTTACAAAATTATGTTGCCACATAAATGATTTTCAGTTAACTTAAGGGATATCATACTTGTAAGGTTCATGTTTTACATACATGCTTTATTTATGTAACACAACAATGAAATATATGCCACCGCTTTTGACATCAATTTGATTACTTCTGGATGATTTTGCCTAGATCTGCCATCAATATTGATTTATAGGTCAATACTCATTTTAGCTATTAAAATGCAAAGATTGTTGGTAGTGAAAAAAAAACTTGTTTTAATAAAACTGCATTCTTGGATTAATAAGGCTTAAATAACAGAGTCAAGGAACATACATTTTCACATTTCACCATCAGAGTCCTGATGAAGTAGTCAGTTCTGGCCTGCTCAGATTCCTAGAAAACAAAGAAGGAGGAACATTTTACACAATCCTTGACTGAAACAGTCATTAGAACAAAATGTGAGAAATGCAGGAGTCCAAAAAAACAGACACCCCTACCCCCCACTTCCTTTTTAGACACTCATTACACACACACAAAGCTGTAATAGATGTGTATACTTACACAGGAGATTCTGAAAGGGCCAAAATTCATGGGTTCCTCCCCCTGCAGCGGGAAATACCGCTCACACTTTTTCTAACCAGAGATGAATAGACATTAGCTTTGACTGAGAACAAAATACCAGAAAGATACCACAGCTTCCTGTGCACACACACTCTGGTTTGAAATATGCAATCAATGTGATGTGAAACAAATAATGAAAATAACAGAAAAGGCTAAGCATATACGTATTATACTATATATACCTTTATATGTAAAACATTTATAGTCATATACAAGCTATGTGAGCTATTGGTTGCATTTTATTATTAGGCCAGTGAATATCTTGGCCAAAAACAACAACAAAAAAAACTTTGCAATGCAGACTGACTCAAGGACTGGTAACTGTCCTTTGAGACCTGTCAGTCTCTCATTTCATAAACATAAATAATAAATACACATACTCATTGAGACAGGCAAGAAAAGCACAAAATATTAAGAGATGCCTCCACCAAAGCTAGGAAATCCTCTAAATGCGTTGGTATTTTGTGCAGAGCTAAAGGAAATATAAAGGAAAATATCATTTCACTTCTACAAATCAATGAACAAAAATATTGTTAAGATACTCTAACTGACAAAGATGGGACTGAAAACATATTGTAACGTTGGTAGAGATAATGAAACACAGATGTATGTACTGACACATGAGTATACACATACTGTACAGTCCAGACTGTAAGAATTTGGGCAGTTCTACATTTTTTCCTTCAGGCTCTGTACTTTAGAACATTCAATTTGGAAAACTACAACTACAGCTACTACTAATAATACTGCTACTACTACTACAAAAAAAAAATAGATACATTAAAGCTTCAGCTTTAGTATAGTCCTTTTAATACATAGTGCCCATGTTTACAAGGGTACTTTCCTCTCCATGCAAATGATTTTCACTCATTCACAAGACTTTTACTCCTTGGCATACCAGATCATTTCCAATTTTCCTGCACATCTCTTGCTTTTTTAGAACATTCCATTCCAACTTCCTATGAGGTCTCTGTTAAAGATCTTTGCTTTTGTGCGCTTTTCATTGTTAGATCTGCATGGTCACCACTTTACTTCTCATATTGACAGGAAACTCCACCTCAATCTAAAGAACAACCCTCAATCAATTCTGAGCCACGTAGGACCTCTTTTGTGCATGAACTAGCACTGAAACGGCATACACCTGCACTATGGGCACCATGTGTTAAAAGGACTATATCTCACACACAGTTCTTTCTATATTGACACAACTTAGTAAAATTAAAGCTGAGACTTGTCACTCTGAAGCTGTATCCATTACGTTATTACAAAATGAATGTGCTGAAGTACAGAGTTCAACAGAAAAAAGTATAACTGTCTATATACTGTCTTATAGTCTAGTATGTATGTATACTTGCAAGCATGTACTGACACATATACAAACTGCACACTACTGCCTTACCCTTCCCATCTCAAACTCTCGACAAGCCATTACAATAACCTGCAGAGACACAAAAGGGAAAGATTCTAATCAATACCTACACTCAAGGTAAATCTTGCACATCCAAAAATATTGTTTTGTGCAATCCTGTTCTATTTAAATAAAGGTTTGGCTGCCAAAATGCAGAATAAGAGAAGCTTGAACTGATTATGGATCAACTTTTACATACTTTCCCTATCAAATGATGAGTACAGACTTCAGGTAATTGTTGATCATATGTTTCATTATCAAATCTGCATCTCACTGTTCTATTATTGGATCCATATGCAGCATAACTATGCATAAATGCACATACTGTATGTAGTCAAAAATGTCCGATGTGATAAAACATTATGGTAAATTGGCACCAAAAATAAAAAAAATATCTCAGCAGCTAGTTCTTACAACACCCATTTAAAAAAAATCACACAAAACAGAGTGGCAACTTTCTAACCATGCAAGTTGACTGAGAGGGTCTTTGCCATGTTAACAACTTCCTACATTATATACAGTACTCCTCACTCTGTCATTCCACTACGTCTGCTTTCACTTCATCCAATGAGCTATACTCACAGCTACATTGTACTCCCAGTTCATCCGCCAGAAGTCGATGACAGTGTTCGGCAGTGGGCCCTGAGTTGCAATATAGGCCTTTGAGCCATTTATACCCTGAAGGGAGAGATGAACAGAAATAGAGAGAAAGTCTATTTTATAGGTGTCAACAAAGGATGTTAATGTGATTTGTGCATCGCTTCGTACCACAAGAAATTTTTTAACACTATATTCAAACAATATGAAAGCAAAGGAACTTGATTTATAGCTGCTTTTTACCTTGATGAAGTTAGCATTGATGTAATCTGTGTCCTGATTGGATGTTTTTAACGTCAGCTTCACCCTACTGTCATCAACTGGTGTTGAAAGAAAGAGAGAAACAGTAGTTTTCATACAACTGAAATATTTTCTACTTAAGGAAAAGAGAGCGCCAGAATAATACAGAGACAAAGACAAAAGAGTGGAATGACGAAAAGAACAACTGAAAGAATAAGATGGAGAGAGATAAAGAATGGGCAAACAAATACAGAAAAAACAGAGAAGTGGGATGTAAAGAGGTTAGTAGACACACACAGGGCTATCCTTATTCCTACACACTGTGTGTGTACACATCTGTTACGGATGAACCAGTTCTTCCTTTGCCTTATCTGCAGCTCATAAAAGCCTCACTGAGTGAATGAATGGACAGAGGAGAAAAAGAGGATAAAGGTATAAAAAAAAATAGGACAGATGTTGGTCCATGGAAGCTTCCCTTCAGGTCATTAAGCACAGTGAAGAGATGTGTGTGTGTGTGTGTGTGTGTGTGTGTGTGTGTGTGTGTGTGTAAGCAGAGAGCACAGTGAAGTTTTGCATCTACAGTGCCTTGCAAAAGTATTCATACCCCTTGAATTTTTCCACATTTTGTCACATTACAACCACAAACTTAAATATATTTTATTGGGATTTTATGTGATAGACCAACACAAAGCATCACACAATTGTGAAGTGGAAGGAAAATGATACGTGGTGTTCAAGATTTTTTTTACAAATAAAAATCTGAAAAGTGTGGCGTGCATATGTATTCAGCCCCCTTTACTCATATCGCTAAATAAAATCCAGTGCAACCAACTGCCTTCAGAAGTCACCTAATTAGTAAATAAAGTCCACGTGTGTAATTCAATCTCAGTATAAATACAGCTGTTCTGTGAAGGCCTCAGAGGTTTGTTATAGAACATTAGTGAACAAACAGAATCATGAAGACTAAGGAACACACCAGACAGTTCAGGGATAAAGTTCTGGAGAGGTTTAAAGCAGGATTAGGTTATAGAAACATATCCCAAGCACACATCTCACAGAGCACTGTTCAATCCATCATCCGAAAATGGAAAGTGTGTGGCACAACTGCAAACCTACCAAGATATGGCCGTCCACTTAATCTGACGGGCCGGACAAGGAGAGCATTAATCAGAGAAGCAACCAAGAGGCCCATGGTAACTCTGGAGGAGCTGTAGGTGGGACAATCTGTCCACAGGACAACTATTAGTCATGTACTCCACAAATCTGGCTTTTATGGAAGAGTGGCAAGAGGAAAGCCATTGTTGAAAAAAATAGGAAGTCCTGTTTGCAGTTTGCCACAAGCCACGTAGGGGACACAGCAAAGATGTGGAAGAAGGTGCTCTGGTCAGATGTGATCAAAATTGAACTTTTTGGTCTACATGCAAAACACTGTGTGGCGGAAACCTAACACTGCACATCAGCCTGAACACATCCCCACCATGAAACATAGTGGTGGCAGCATCATGCTGTGGGGATGCTTTTCTTCAGCAGGGACAGGGAAGCTGGTCAGAGTTGATGGAAAGATGGATGGAGCTAAATACAGGGCAATCCTGGAAGAAAAACTGTTAGAAGCTGCAAAAGACTTGGGAGTGGGGCAGAGGTTAACCTTCCAGCAGGACAACGATCCTAAACATACAGCTAGAGCTACAATGGAATGGTTTAGATCAAAGCATATTCATGTGTTAGAATGGCCCAGTCAAAGTCCAGACCTAAATCCTATTGAGAATTAGTGGCAAGACTTGAAAATTGTTGTTCAGATGCTCTCCATCCGATTTGACTGAACTGGAGCTACTTTGCAAAGAAGAGCAGGCAAAAATTGCAGTCTCTAGATGTGCAAAGCTGGTAGAGACATACCCTCAAAGACTTGCAGCTGTAATTGCAGCGAAAGGTGCTTCGACAAAGTATTGACTCAAGGGGGCTGAATACATATGCACGCCACACTTTTCAGATTTTTATTTGTAAAAAATCTTGAACACCACGTATCATTTTCCTTCCACTTCACAATTATGCGATGCTTTGTGTTGGTCTATCACATCAAATCCCAATAAAATATATTTAAGTTTGTGGTTGTAATGTGAAAAAATGTGGAAAAATTCAAGGGGTATGAATACTTTTGCAAGGCACTGTACATATTCTTTTCTGTGCGTCCCCATTGGTCTGGCTTCACCCAATATCTTTCCTTTTATTTTTTCCCCAACATTTCCACCTTATTTTAACCAGTTAGTCTAAATAAGCCTAAAAATGAACAAATGCAAGTGATATGATTAAAAAACATTTTTTTGACATTTGACAGTGTAGTTATTTGATAACAGTGACTTTCTTTAGAGCTGAGGACATACAGTACACAGTTTTAATGCTGCCGTCACACAGGACCCAAGCATTCAAAGAGATTATATTGAAATTTGCATGTAAGATTTAGTCAAATTAAAGTGTTTAGTTATTAATAGTAGCACAACAAGGTTATCATTGTGAATCTGTGGGCATGTGACATCCACAGAGTGTTGAATGAGCAGCTCTAGCCAGTGTGGACTACTCCAACTTGTCACTTGACGGTATCTGATCTACATCTCATTGTGTAAATTTCGTTCTAAGCTTGAGAATCCTTCTGGGACAGTGCAAGGCAGGTGACATAAGACACATGAGACAGTAACAGACAGCTGGAGTGAAACAAAACACTTAAGATATTCACTGGCTGATGCAGACAAAGAAAGTCAAATGTGCTTGCACTGATGACATTTTATGCATATATTATTAACCCCACAGTTCTGGTGCATGTTCAGTTAAGCAATGAACTCCATGGAGGTCCATGCTACAGGTCCAATCCCAGCCGGCAATCGGGCGAGGGCGGGGTACACCCTGGACAGGTTGCCAGTCCATCGCAGGGCCAACACGCAGACGAACAACCACTCACATGCACACAGTCACTCCTACAGGCAATTTAGAGACACCAATCAACCTAAGCTGTATGTCTTTGGACTGTGGGAGGAAGCCAGAGTACCTGGAGAGAACCCACGCATGCACGGGAAGAACATGCAAACTCTGCACAGAAAGGTCGCGAACCCACAACCTTCTCGCTGTGAGGGACAGTGCTAGCATAAAAACAGATATCACATAATAAAGTCCTGCCTCATGTTTTCTCTAAAAGCACAGAGATTAGTTTGTACTGTATATATACACCTTTCCCAACTTTCCTCCTATTTTCACAGCAGAAAATTGACAGATAATAGCAGCTAATATTATTAAGAGACGGCTCCATTAAATTCAGGCTTACAATACACCAAATACAAATGAGCAAGCATGCACATCCAACTGTAATGCAGCCATTATTCTTAATCTCGCATTGTACTTACATGGTAGTATATCTTTATATCTGTTCTTCTTGATATTCTCCTCCCGCTCTCCTATGTCAGTAGTGTAGGTCTTCTCTATCCTGTATCTGGTTGATAACCTCCGTAACCGCTGAAATAAACGAGAAAAAAAAAATAGATAGTAGTAAATACCAAGAAATTCTATACCTTTTCTCTCATCTACAGAGTTTGGTGATTTGTTTGTAAGCATATATGGACCTATGAGCAGAGGATAAGCAGAATGTTTTAGACACAATATAGTTGACAGTACACAGGACAGAGAAGCATGACAGTAGAGCAAGGTACAGGTGAGATCAAATCAAATCAATTTTATTTGTATAGCGCCAAATCACAACAAAAGTCATCTCATGACACTTTACAAAGTAAGGTCTAGACCTTACTGTTATCAATATTATTACATAGGGAAAACCCAACAAATCCTCCTTGAGCAAGCACTTGGCGACAGTGGGGAGGACATAAGTCTAATCTGAGTGTCGCACCAATAGAAATACTCAGAAAGCTACAGTACCTGACAGTTTTGAACTTCCAGTGAATTTTATCCTGCAACTCTTTTTCATTACCAGCTTCAGTTTTTCCTCGAGCATCACAGCGAAACTTTAGAGAAACTTCAAAAGAATGACAAGACTTTTGTACCATAAAAAAGCCCCTGGTGCTCGACTCTGATAGCGCTCACAAGATATTGCTCTCAAGGGCCTTTTTTGTTTATTTCTATCACTTGGTTCAATCACTTTTTTCTCTCTTTCTGAGACAGTGCGGAAATTAGGCATCACTCTACTGTCCACTCCCCCTTTTTTGGTCTCTGAGAAAGTCAGCGTGGGCGTTCGGGCTGCTGAAGCCACGTATGAAAAATGATCCCACCTCTTGTCTCTCTCTTCTCTATGGTACTGACTGCAGGCTTTCCTCACATCACAGTAACATGTGTATGTACTGTAGTGCACGTCCCGACTTTCTTAGACTCTCAACCCTCAGACTTATCTTCCTGTCCTTGTTTCACTGTTCACTCCTGTCATAACATCACTTCCATGGTACTGTGGAGACATTTACTACAGAACACACAGACATCATCTGATATTACAAGCATAAAGATACGCAAAAATGTGCCACATTAACATAACTTAATGTACCACTTCCTGTATGTGTACTGCATTACATTTTGTTTCTTATGGTTAAATCCTTTGAGATTACAAATGGCTGAAGAAAACTGTAATCTTCATCTCCTGTATTTTTTGTCCTCTCGTTTTCTCCTTTTGGTACAGCAGTTTCCAAGCCTGAAAAGCCGACTGTACTCAGTGACACACACATACACAGTTTAGACTAGCAGCAAAAAAGCACCCTAGAGACGTAATGAGTTTTTCACCTTTCATTTTGCAGCACATCTTCGTTAACTACAACGATCAGAAACTGAGGGAGAGAAAACAAGGGAGCAAAGAGGAATTTGAGAGGTACACATGCAAACTGTGGGCGGCAACACAGCTGTGCATGTGTGTGTGTGTGTGTGTGTGTGTGTGCACATTTGTGTCTGTGTGTGATAATAGCATTAGAGCTCCTCTTGCCTCATGTGAATTACATTTCCAACAGAGGTCTGCTTCTGTGCTGGGCCAGGGCCCAGGAACACACACACACACACACAAACACACACGTTTAGGCACACAATGAGCAAGATTTGTGATGGTCTTAGATTCCCCCAGCCCACAAAGCACATTATGTGGAGACAAACATGCACAGAATCATGCCCTCTAACACTGCCATGATGACAGGTATTTTCTCTTTGGAGTCAATTTCACTTCATTTAGGAAGCACGAGTTGATTCTCTCAGTAAAGCCCATAAATTCAGAGATTTGCACCTCATCAGTGGTTTGATTTGACCATGTATTTGTATTTTTACTTCATACAAAGCTGCCTATGTCAGCTGCCATTAATAAATCAAAGGCTATATTAGTCATAGATCACTCTTTGGAAAATACGTAGGAACCTCAGTGCTTTGCTCAAAGCCATTCAGGAGATGTAATTCCAGTTTTTCTTCTTTCAAAGCAGGGCATCTTGGCAGTGAACTTCAATGTTAAATTATGTTTCTCTGTCCATGACAAATTTCTCAGCTGGTTTCAGTTAGATAACAGGTGGTTTCTGCGATCTAATGGTCAATGACACGTTCTAAACACGATAACATTTTCTGAACAGCAAGTGAGAAAAAAAAAGTGTAATCAGAAAGGCATTTTGAAGGTAGTTTTACTTGCTTTCTGATAAATTTTAATCCTGTTTACACATTTCAACAAATATGGTCCTTAATTTCAGTGGTATTATATTTATAACATGACTTCCTGATTGTAATAACTGTGATTAAATGCATGTAAGTGATATCAGTGGTGCAAGTCTATTTGCCTGACATCAGTTTTAAAAGACATATCACAAAATCAAGCAATTAAGTTTTTTTCTGCTGTTGATTATACTTTGATTGTGGAAGCGGCATTTTGCGATATAGTTTTATTAGTATGTCACTTATAACAACTGTTAAATTAGGTATACACTATAATGGCTGGGGTCCCTGATGGACTAGTGGCTAGGATTCAGCCCTCTCACTGTTGTGGCCCGGGTTCGAGTCAGGGTCGCATCAGGAAGGGCATCTGGTGTAAAACATGTGCGAAACTTTTTTTTAATCAGTAAACTAAATATTTTCGATCATTGGACCATCAGTTCGGCAAAACAAAATAAGCAAATCTCCAGCTTTGACAAGCTGGAAATTAGGGTTTTGCATGCACGCTTAAAATATGACAATTGTCTCAAAAAAATCAGTCGATTATTTACTGCTTATCACAGTTTTCCAGAGTCCAAGGTGATATTCACAAATGTCTCGTTTCGTCTGGCCAACACTCTGAAACACAAAAGGGTTTTATTGACCATTTACAAGACAAAGAAAATAATAATCAGGATAATCACCTATATTTGGCCAAGTATGTTACACACACGGGGAATTTGTTTCTGGTACAGAACCAAGGAACCATCTCAGCTGATGGCTCTAACCATCAGGGGCAACTTGGGGGTTCAGTGTCTTGCCCAAGGACACTTCGACTACGACATGTGGACCGCAGGCACCGAGACTCGGACCACCGACCCTTCGGTTGGGAAACAACTGCTCTACCCACTGAACCACAGTCGTCCCCCCAACAGCAAATCATGACACAGAAACACTAAAAACCCTAATCCTTGCAGCATTTGCACTTTGTTAAATGCAAAAGCAGAAGTATAAAACATCACAAGAAAGCAAAGTAACTAAAACACTACAAAACTCTCAAAGAGTTTCCTCTGGGTTTCACACATTTAAAGATAAGAATGCACCCAAACCACCTACGCTTCACTGTTGTGGCCATTTCAGTAAAATATGCGCTTGAAGCAGCTGTTATTAGATGGTGTTCACTCACAACTTTTTCAAAGTTCAATTAGTTTCACTTTTTAGGATAGACCAGGTCAGATTATTTTTTATGTACCATGTTCAGTCAGTTCATGTCATCTAACAACTACATTTTTACAGAAACACACTTTACTCCAGTGCTTTTACCTCTGTTTTAGCTTCAGAATTACAGATGATTCAAATAAGATGTTCTCACATTGCTCCTAATCCTTGCACATTTCTGCCTTTCCCTCTGTTTCCATTATCTCTTCACTTCCCATCAGTCAGAAGTGTAAAACTTCATGACTGAGTTGGCCAGCTTCCCGTGAATGCTCAACCCCTTTTTACCCTGAATAAGTGAGCATCCCGGTACTTCTCTGGCACACTGAATAATTCCCACACATACTGAAGAGAAACACATCTCTTTCTTACACTCAGCAGTAAACACTGATTGGCAGAAAATATGCTCTTCCTGCAGTAGCAGTGGGGAAAAAAAGGTTCTTGCGTGTGTGGCCAGGAAGTGGGGGTGTTGAGCACCAGTGGCAGAGAGGCTGTACTGTCGGTCACCATCCATGCAGACACACACATGCAAGCTAAACTAGGTCACCCCTTACAATGCTCTCAGAAAAATCCATCTCCCTCGCTGTGAGCGTACGGGGAAAAGATGCACTGCTACAGCGAGGAGACTAAAAGGTTCTATATGACTCTTGATAGGTCTGTCACTCTGACAATTCAATAAACTTGACTGGTGTGCTCTTTGCCTTTACCTGTATCTATGTGCCATTAATGTTCCATATCAGGAAAAGCAAAGTCCTATTTAAGATTATACAAATTATAGAAATTTATAGAAAATCTGACTGCAAATTTGAATGCATTAAAATAAATGAAGGAAAAATATGAGGTTGTGAAAAGCTATGATTTAAACAGTAACAGGCAGGAAATCACCACTGTTATTAAAGGAAAAGTTTGACATTTTGGGAAACATAAATATTAGTTTTCTTGTGTAAGCTAGATGAGAAGATTTATACCATCCTTAAAGTTACATGCTTCATATGTAAGTGGAGCGAACAGGGAGCTTATTAGAAATACTACAGGAAGTTACTGCTGTGAAAAGAAAAACAACAAAAAACATAATCCAGCAGGTAACTTCTGATTTTTTACAAACTGAACAGGAAAGATGTATCTTAATGAGTGAGCTTTAGAGGCTGTTGCAGAATCAAGCTAGCTGTTTTCCCATGTTTCCAGTGTTTGTGCTAAGCTAAGCTAAGCTAACTAGCAGTGAGCCCTGTGTCATTTGTCTTCAATTTTTACAGAAATGTGCTGCTGATCTCTTCATCTACAATGATCCCAAAATATTGAACTATTCCTTTAATTGTTTTGGTGACAAACTGAAAAAGCATCACTTTTCAGACAAAAGGTGTCGTGTGTACTGTGAGTTTATCAGTGGAACAAAGCTTAATGATCGAGCTCTATCACTAAGGAAATAACAAACCCCACCCTGGCCACCAGTGTGAGTCAGGGGTCCTGACTGTGTGTGTGAAGGACCTCCTCATTAGCTAAAACATCCTGACAAAGATTATGTTCGACAACTAGCATCAGTTGCCAAGCTGTATACAAACATGCACATGCTCGTGCATTGTGCAGTCATTTCCACTTTATGTCTACTAGCCAATAAAAGTCAGTGAAGCACTGATAACATAGATGAA